TCTACTTTGTCTACGCTTCTTCATGTCAATTTGATTGCTTGTTTTTGAACTTCTGATACCTGTTCCACTTGACACTTCATGATCACACAGGCTGGTATGCTTCTTCCACGTGGACTTTGTTGCTTCCTTGCTAGCTGGCCACTTGTTTATCTTCAAGTCTTTAAGACCCCAGACACTATATCTTTTGATAGCAGGCACCATCAATTTTCTTCACACATTTGCTTATGCACCCATTTTGTCTTCAGCGATTGTGTCAGGAAGGTGAGTAGAGACCATTTCCATATTATTAGAGCAAACCATTCTTATACTGAAGTAAGATTTAAGTAGAGGCCCAAAGTCCATCTGCTTTCTTATTGTGTTTACATATATATACATAGAGCGAGAGACGAATACATCTATCTTTATATATGTATATATTTACATATATATATACCTATATTCATTCTTATATGTATGATTATTAGTTTCTAGGTCTTTCCTCTTTTTCTTTCCTCCTGCCCCACTATTATGTTTACCTATCATTCACCTCTCAGATACATTTCAATTGATCAAACATGATCCAGAATGCTATATACCCTTCTCCCCATTGATTTTATATCCCTTGCTGTTCCTCTGTCCCTGTCATTATTGACTCCTTGCTCCCCTCCCCATGCTTCATCCTCTCCCATGCTCCCACCCCCAAGAATCTTTTGGTCTAGTTGCTGTCTCCATGGGATTGCTTATCCTGCCTCTCTTACACAGACAGATCATACAAGTAGTTCCAAGTCTAGCTGTTGTCTTGACCCAGAGTTGATGAGAATCCCTCTGTTAAGTAACTAGCAGGCCCTGTTATAATCCTGTTGTCCAATCCCCTATTCCTTCCAGGATCTCTTTCCCAAGACCCCCTTACCTAATATTCCTATACCCTTTTACTCCTCAGTGTCCATGCCCAAGGGGCACACCTTCCACAAGACCGCATTGCTCTTCTTGCAGTCAAGGATGGAGTGGTCTAGTGCTCCCCATCCCACCCCATTACACCTTTAGACTTTCTATTTGGCTCCCTTGTGAATCTCCTCCAACCAGTTCAGATGAGGTGCCAAGTGCTGCCCGGGGGTCAGAAGTCTCCAATCAAGCTTCCGCAGGGACTTGCAGCCATGGTATTTTCCACCACCTCATGTGCATGTGGAAGCTGGACCCGGAATAAGAAAGACCAAAGAAAAGCCATGCGTTTGAATTGTGGAGCTGGTGAAGACTTTGTAATGCACCATGGACTTCTACAAGAACAAACGAATCTGTCTTGGATGAAGTACAGGCAGAATGTTTCTTAGAAGCCA